CAAGATACCCGTCTCCAGAATAGCAACAGGTGATACTCGGCGGGTCTCAGTGTCCGAATCCATACTTTCGATGATAAGAATCCTGTAGTTGAGGTTGTGACACTCATAAGCCTGCCATGCCGAGTGTAAAACACAGTTGCTGTTGCGGATGATACCTATGATAATATCGGATACAGAAAAATCATTGTTATAATGAAATAATTAACTAATTTAATCACTGCCCTACATGTAATGTTAGTATTGAGCTTGAATTTCTTGGATCCGAAACATGTCATCAGCTTGATGCACGAATAAAGAAAATTGCGAAGGAGCTGTTTGTTTTTTCTACACTCTCGACCTACATTCTACACTTTGTTGGTGAGGACTCTGTATATTTCTGCATCCATGACAGTTTCAGGAAGAATTTCGAATTTCATCGACTGTGTGACGTTGTGCCATCGGTTTTGATAGATATCAACATTTAAACATGTTCAGCTGCCGACATAGACCTTATAACAGGACCTTGCTTATCTGCTTCGTAGGTTATCCATATCAACCATCGAAAATACTTTATATGAATTAATTTAAAGTTATTTTGATGCAACTGCATAGATTTATTTGGTGTTAATATTCTGTTGAATATCAGTTACTTACCTTTGTTAGGTGCTATATTATTGACCGGTATGCGCGTTCCATTTGTTCAGTAAGCATTGTTTTTGGAATTCTGTAATCACCAAGACCTCTGCGTGGATCACCACCCCACTGCCATTCCGATTCTGAAATAACTGCTCCAACACTTCCAAGGAAAGTACCGTCCTGGTCAGTAAACAAATCCTTTTTCAGACCATCACAGTCCATATCCACACAATCGGCACTGTTAATTTTTCTGAAGACGAATGAAGTAAAAAGAATTATTCTTTTATTTGTTTTTCCCTTTAGAGTGCATATTAACCGAACATATACATTCATGCGACAATAGACATTTTATTAGCGACATACTATGCTACTAGCAATCTCAATAGTTAGATACATCTTTGATTTGAATAGTTAGAGGACGAAATCTAAGACACTAAGGAAAATCTTTTGATAAATAACATTTCTTACCCCACATTTGGCCTGTGATAGAATATTTTGTTATTTGTTGCTACATCAGTGGTAAATGCGTTCTTCGATTCAATCGGATGTTGGCCATCGTCGCCTTTCGCATTCGTGGTTACAGCGAAGTCGTTCCTGCCACAAGTTGTTTTGAAATGAGCAAATGACACACCTGTTCAAAAATAAAAAAATAGACACTATACATCAAGCAGAAACCTATTTTAAGAGGCAGGTGATTGTTTCGTCTAAAGTAAATACTGCACACAATAGCTTTCAGGATATTTTCCTTGTGATGCCAGATGTGATATACCTGCAAATTTTGATATTGAGATACCCTCTTGTATTACGTATGTAAGTAACATATTAAATTTATTCTATGATGTATGGAAATTGCACATTTTGCACCAGCTGCTTCGTCCATGATCAACACATAGATGATTAACTGGCTAACATTAGCTTTATATGGAGCTAAATATCTCACTTTACAGCGGAAGATGAATTCTCGCAGAATTGTTGTGTGTTACATAAAGTAGACCTGAAAAAATAATCAAACTGCATCATACAGCTGTTTCGTCCTTCTAGGACTTGTCTGTGATACTATGAATCTGAAATTAGAAGCCTAGGAGGCGACTATGGAATATCCGAAGTGATTGAATGATATGTCAGAACCTCAATGGGACTGTGTACAAACCCCATAATTAAATAGATTTCATTTATATTCCTTTATGTACGAAAATCACTTACCGTCAAGTTTCATTACTCCGAACACCGAAGAGTAAGACATGGTCCCATAATGTGGCTTCATTGGCATATTATTGGATGATTGGAAGAAATTAGTAAACCCAACGCCGATGTGACTACCATCTGTGTTCCACGTGCGGCCTTGGCTGCTAAATTGAACATTTTCATCAGATTTCAATGCGTCAGATGTGCAGTCAAAAGAAGTTGTCGCACCAACTATTGTCGAATCTTTGATTAAGACATACTTATCAGCAGTTTCATGCCCCACAGCTGATGGGCCAACAATAAACGGTGCAGTACCCACAGTGTTTTCAACTAGGACAACGTCTTTTATTTCCGCACTTGGACTGTTCTCATAAAAAATACCACCGTCTCGAGATTTCCAAACTGTGAAATTTGAAATTTGAACACATGAAACTGTTAACTTGTCTTCGGGAAATATCCCGAATCCCATTAGGGAACTGTGAGCCAGATTACTTCCATAACCAACAGCACCGCATTCAATGGCGCCTAACCTGTAGGCAACCCTTTCAGCTCCCGCTACAACATTATCCTCAATTATAATAGCCTTGGCATCTGGAGCTTGAATTCCACCATTGTAGCGGAAGTTGAATGGTTCTTGACGGTCTTGGTACGCTCCTTCCCATACAACAAGTGTTACCAGGTTTCGGCGCAGTCGTGTATCATCAGAAGACGTTTCAATACCTAAACCCATCAAATAAGGGTTAAACACGGTGCATACAATAACATCTACGAATGAACAGCACTTTTCAAAAAAAAAAAAATTCGAAACCGAAAAGGTATCATGCACAATAGCGATATATCAAAGGGGTATTTTACACAGTATTATTTTTTTTCTGACTGAACTCCAATGTTCTACATGTGGGCTTATTTCAACCAATTTTGCTTCTCTAAACTGATATTAAAGAAACTAAAATGCTGACAATACTTTTATAATCAAAAGAAAGATTAAAAAACGTACATGTCATTGTAAACTTACGTATCCCTTTAAACTAGCTGCGGCATTAATGTATCATAAAGGAAGTGAATGTTGGAACAAAGAAATGATATATGTGAAAACGTATATTCTCGTTACTTACCCCACCAGATTGCATGATGAACGACGTTATCTTCTATGGGCAAACCATGCGTTCCGAAAACACCAATAGCCGGAGAAAACCCGTTGTGGAAGGCGCATTTGTTTATGTATGAAGGTTTAATATTGCTGACTGTTCCACCATCAAGGAATGTCAATGAAAATCGTGCATCGTAGAATTCGGTGTAGCTTTCCTGTCCCGTGTGGAAAAACTCCACATTGCTCAAGCGAGCATAACCTTGGAATACAAACATAAAAACCGTTATGGAAAAACACATTCTGATTTGAAATCTGAAATTCTAACTTCAAAATTATTACTTTTTACGTTTTAATATTTCTATTCCACGTGATCATAATAATGCTGAACATCGTCGTTTCAGTTTATCATTCAATACGAAATTAAATTTGACTCGAGATGAATATGTAGCCTTACTACTCAAAATCATTTATATGTTGCACTTTATTTCATTTATCAAATGGCGTCATTCACCAATATACTGGCTGCTTCCTTTTTGTGCTGTTCCTACTAACGTCCGGGCACCAAATGATTCCTTAAACATTCTAGAATAGTCCTCGCCGACGACTTTGACATTTCTTGAGAGAAGTCCAACCTCGGCTCCAAGACTGATGGTTTTTCCATTTATTGTCTCCGAATGGACTAGAAAATACACAAAATCCAATATCTACATCCTCTATTCTTATTTCATTAACATTGGCAAAAAATGTCTTCTCTAATTCTAAATTACAATTTTAATTAAAATGCCAAAACTTTCAATAATGTAATATAGTCCCACCAAATTTATTAATTAACTGCAATTTTCCTTTTCTTTTGTTATTATTTCTTTCCACCTGTAAACTAACTTATTTCCAATGGGCTCAAGTTTTAAAGATCATTAGCATTCGATTTCGTGGATAAATTAACTCCATATATGCATTTATATTAATTTCATTTCATGAAAGTAAAACTTACAGTACCCACGAATCCAACGAAAATAAAGCCTCGCCCATAATAATGATTTTTTTGAATTTAAGAGAAGTATCATTCTCAATCTTTTCGACTGACAAGAATTATCTGTTTTAAGGAATGCGGAAAGCATAAAAAATCATGTCAGATAATACTTCAATGATGGTGAAGGCTGGGATTTTCGTACATACATACCAACATGTTTGTACAGTAACGAGCTGTTAAGGGTAAGCGTCAGTCCATCAGTAGATACTCCAGTGATCCTGAATGTCTCTGTTTCCCACATATCATAACTTGTTGTCGCTAGAACGATGTCGCTACCCGCAGTCCAGTTGACAGCCTGTGCTAAAGAGATTGTGGATGCCCCGGCGTTCGCTGTCGAAGCTAACCGTGTCCATGACACCCCAACATCGATCCCGTGAAGGTCAAGGCCTCCAAATACACCTGTTTGTAATTTTTACATACAAAGCATTGTAATTGTAGGAATAAATATGGTGACACCTGCCCCAAACGGCATTGTCTGGTATACAGTTTATAACATGAACAGGTATCTGATTGTTAATGCTTGTGAAAATGTTACCATTTTTCATTATAATTTTTGATTTGTCATCATTTAAAAAGACTAGAATAATTGCAAACCAGTTTTCATTCATTACCATTATCTATAACAGACGGCAACACTACTTAGTATACATACACGTGACTGAACAACACATACCAATTGCCTTCGCCCCCACAGTTGGAGCATTGGTGAGATCTGTGTACTCGTCACTATCCCAGCTGCCTCTAAGGATGACTTGAGAGTTACCGAGGTAGGGAGCATCCGGCCATCCTATTATAAGTCGCCCTCCCAGAATGATGATGTGGGTGGCATTGAGGTCAATGTCACGGTAAGGAGCTGACGTGCCGTGATCAAACTCCAAGACGCCATACAGGATTAACTTATTGAGTGAGGGAATAGCCATGTCTGCTACCATCCACACCTCTGATGATTCAAATTCAGTTCGAAATTACATTTTACTTACTGTTTAAAACATTGTTATGAATCAATGACGCCAAGTGATCAACTTGGTCATTCTGGTAGCATAACAAACAAAAAACAAAAAACAAAAACAAAACAAAAACAAAAAAAAACAAAACAAGCAAACAAACAAACGTTTTGATTACTTCTTAATGAGTATGAGTAATTAAATTAACATAACCTTTGACTTATGTCAGAGCAATGTAATAGTATGTTCAATGTTTGTAATATAATTGTTGGCTAAAGACTCGGCTAAGATCAAATTCTATTAATGTGGCTATTTGTCAAAATAAAATATACAGTGGTATATATAATCAATCATCTACTTAGGAAAAGGCCACTTCATAGTATCATGTGTTTCATCATCGTATCGATGGAACAACCAACAAACAATATTTAAGCTGATTCAAAGCAATAAAGGAAATGACATAATTTCACACATCAAAACAAGGAGGGGATAATAAGACCAGGTCTTCTTAAAGAGTAAGCGTCTTCGTCTTCAAGTAAGACGTAAATCTTGTAACGCACAAATCAGGGACAATAATTACCTTGTGGAATAGTCAGGTCAGTATTGGCTACTGGAAGTGTATTGTTAAGCCAAGTCCAAGAGTTTGCCTCTGACCAATACACGAAATCCGATGGTCGCTGAGTGACAGGGGGTACTGTGTTAGGATCCGGTGGTGGTGTACAGTTGGCGTAGAAACATTTGAAGGCCTGAAAATCGAATGATATACTGGCGATACCGGTTGGCAAAGCGGGAGAACCACGCTTTTTTCTACCGCTCGCTCCACCACTTCCTTTTACTGAAAGAGTAAACACAGATATAAGACGAAAGGGAATGATAGGAAATCAGGTAATCAGATAGTCGTGTTAGCATTCACAATAACCCACACACAATTATAGTGTGATTGAAAAGCATCTCATACAAGAAAAGAACCATAATAGAATTATGTAATTACTTTGTAACATACACGTAATGATCGAGTATTTTTCATTTTTTTTTTTTTCATTTCATTCCTCTTTCTATTTTATTTTCTTCCGTGATCTATTACATCGTTAGAAAGATATTTACTAAAGCACTAAAACACAATTGATGTTCAATACCATTACGGATTAATGACACTCAGTATAGACAGGCTTAATCCGAGACAGAAAATCAATGTGCATGGATTACACTTATTGTTGCTTTTTGTTGTCAATTCCATAAAGCTTTGTTGTATACAAATGCACTTCTTATCTGATTCAATTACGTTTTAGACAGATTGTTCTTTATCAAATATGTTCACAATTCAATATTCAAGAAGAAATTCCCGTTTTTTTCATAAACCATAAATGCGCTAAGCTATTGTCATTGTGTTTACATTTCATGTGGTAAGTAATATGGAATATTCCGAGATTTGTACACGAACCAAGAATTGTGATTTCGTTGGTATAATGATCGTATGTCCAGTCCCCGTTTACATGAACGCTAGGATCCAGAGTCACATCAGATGACTCGACAAATCCACGGGCGTCACTCTTTAGTCTGTCTGGTTTCTTGTTTACTTTTTGACGCAGATAAATATAGTCATTGTTCTATAAGATAAATAATAACAATAATTGAGTTAGATTTATGCCAAGATGGGTTTTATTTCCTTGTTGAAAGGGATATTAAATTCACAATAACATTTATGTTTGTTCAATACTTTTCGTTTCAATTATAACAGCGGCTTTTTCATTATAATTAAATAATTATTAGTTTTCATATTCTTAAATTAAACCTGAACGTAAAACATGATGTTAGAATTATCGGCTGTGAATACAAACTATATCTGTTATCGTTACTTTATGTATATCTTTGCATCGGGTGAAAAAAGAAAAAAACTACTTACCTCGAAATGGTAAAGTGTGCCAGAGAAACTGAGATTCGTTTGGATTGCAGCGTCAACAAAAGTAAGAGAATAGGTCTCGGTACTAACGAGTAATACTACCCAGCCGCCCTTGTGAGTGATTCGTTTTTCACGATACTCGCCGAGGGATGATCCGTACTGATTTGTCAAATTTGTTTGCTTGAATTCTAAAGAAGCAGGCAAAATGTTATTAAAACCAAACCTGTGGAACTTGACAGAAGAAGGACATACACTTGCGGGTATGCTGTTATTGAAATCGGAGAATGCAGTACAACTGGGTGGGAGTGTTCCAGTACTTGGTACGACTTTACAATTTACACTGTTGCACAAAGTGCCATCAAGATCATGTAGAACGCCCTCGAATAACCATTCATATCGGCCACGATTGGGAGAATTTGTCCAGGTCAGACCTGATGTTTTGTAATAGTACCCACCACATTGGTCACCACATGTACCGTCTATTCTTGTCCAGGTAAAGGCGGAACAGCTCGATTTATCAAAATTGACAAATTCAACATTTGTTACCCCAAACATGAATCCGTATGGAAGCACAATAGCTCCATTAGTACAGACAGAATTAGGTGAAAATGACGCGTAACCAACAATTAGGGAGTCCTTGATAGCAGCTTCATTTGACGGATTTGAAGAATCTTCACCTTCCACAATAAGTTTGCCTTCAAATCCAGCCTTTTTGTTTGCTACTGCACGGATTTTACTGAACTGGAGGGCGCCGGTGTTCACAGTCTCTACGCCTTTTTCGTTATTCCAAGCATCGAATGTATCAAAATTTACGGGTTGTGGCACAGAAGATCCACAAATACCGTCTACTCTAGGTGTGTATGTAGGAAAGATCCAAAGACCAAACCAACCAAATGAGTGAGCACTATTGTTGAAGAATGTACCCAACGTGATCAGTTTGGGACAGACAGAGCGGGTAAATGATGGCCCTTCCGGATGGTCATGCATGCGGTACCAGAATCCAAAGTGAGATCCACCGGCAGCGTGGTTGTGCTGGAGTGTATTGTTCGGATTTGTAATCCAGAAGGATGCTGGAGTGACATCATCGTTAAGTAGACTTGAACTCTCCCGTACGAACACAGCTAGGTTGTACTGGATAATGTTACCAGTCTCAATGCCGTCCTCGAAGAAGAAGGCACCTCCCATAACGTTATAGATAACAACGTGTTCAACAAGCAGATTTTTTGTACCATGTATATTCACGGCACGGTTGAACGTTTCATGGATGCCCAGTCCACGGACGTAACAGTGTGACATGTCGCCATTGAGATGGAAATGCACAGGATAGCGTCCCAGTCTAAAGGCCTGACCCATGTGGAATAATTCTACATATTGTAAACGGCCAGTAGATCTATGTGTGTCGTACTCGGGGGCATGAATCATTATTTGGCCGCCAAATTGATCGCTTCCCATTTCTTCGCCAAAACGTCCTTGAAAACATGTCTGGGTGGCAAACTCACCTGTAGACCAGATACATGGTATGCTTTAGTGTTATTTTTCCCAATAATTGTGAAGTATGAACAATAATATTTTCATAAAAAAATACAGTCGTTAGTATATGCATTGCCTTAATCAAACTAGACTTACAATACGCCTATATAATGTCATTCCTAATATGAAAAATGCTTACCAGTATCAAAGCCGTCAGGACATGCTTCAATTTTCTCAATCCACTGCGCGTCACTTGTGCCCTGAACTTTAACATTATGTGTTAAGAGACCGACTTCAGCTGCAAAATTCATGGTGGCTGCGTTAGCGCTGGTTCCAAAACTTTCAGTGACGGCAATGTGCTCGTTTGCGAGATTAGAGTCTAAGGTCAAGGTCTTTAGGTCTCCGGCTATCGCTGTGATGGTTTTGAGTTCGTTCTGAGACTGTGACTTCATGTCGCCAGTTGTGGCAATGATGATCTGATCTCCTACATTCCAATTAACAGCTTGGTCGAGTTTAATAACGTTTGTACCTGCAGCAGCTGTTTGTGAAAGTTTCGTCCAGGTAACTGGTGTCGGTATACCTAAAATACGCATTAACATCATCTAAACAAGTGTTCGATTCATAACTAAGTGTATGCTATAATATATTTTACGCTATTTTGCAATAATTTAAGTATGACTTTTGTCTGTTTTCACCTACATCACATCACACTATTTCAAAGATATAACAGAGAATGGAACAGAAGGAAGCAAATTAACATAATGAGAAAACAAAACAGTATTGTACCATGCAGGTCCAATGTGCCTTCACGGATAGCCAGCGTCTTAGTACCATATATTGGGAGCTCTTTACTGCGATGATGTCCATGTAAGGTAATGGTTGCTTTGTGTTGAAAAGGTGTTTGTTCTGTTCCAACCTGTTGTTCGGAAATCAACATATTTTATTTACCCTACCTAATTCTGTAAAGCAAGTTGTTGCAAAATGGAAACTGGAGTTTGTGCCAGTTATTATTTTCTTCAGATAACTTTCTCTGTTAAAGTATTTCCTTTACATGTATTCGAGTGGAAAGCCATTTTATCCAAAAGTAAACTATTTAGTATATACAGCATCAACACGAAACTCCACTGCACAACTTCTGCCAGGCCTACACTATTTAATGTCGTCAATTTATGAAACTGTTACGATGGTTTCCCACGTACCTACCGCTGAATACGTAGGTTTAAAGCTATTATGCATTACAATTGACAAAGTCATAGCCCTAGCCATTGTTTGATAAAAAAATCCATTAAAGATATACATCATAAGTATAAAATCATTAGTACGTCTGTGTCTATAATGCATCTAAATATATACGATCAAATTTTATTATATGATAAATATATAGAGATACCTTGCAGCATGGTATCCTATAAACATGTCTTAATCACACTTCCAGATATCGCACAACTTAACGGAACATTATTCTACTTAATAAATGAAGAGTTTCTTTAAAGATACCTGAAACAGTCCTCCGTTTGTGACTAAAACAATTTCTGAATTCAATTCCACATCTTGGTTGTCATCGAAAATGAGTTCTCCCCCTTGAATAAGAAGCATTTTGAGAGTGGCGGTGGTCGTGTCTAGGTAGATTGTTTGGCCGGCTTGGATAACGACAAGGTCACCATCTGTTGGCAGTGACACCCCTCCCCAGGAATACACTGATGACCAGACATCAACGTAATGATAATCCGCGGAAGTCTATTAAGAAAAACGGAGTCAGTTATCAAGAGCATTCAACAAATCATCAATGAGAATCTAGTAAGTGGACCCATCTCATAACTCAGTAGAAAGGTATAAACATATTGATTCTTATCTTTAAACCTACACCTTGTGGAGGTAAGTTTTGTGTTCCGAGAAACTTTCATTCTTCGTTTGGAAGTGACGAAAATCAACGTAACTGGTATGTAACATATACTATCAAATATGTATTTATTCGAATGATGCATTTTCATACGATCTATCATATGAACACGATATCAGGAGCACCTAACCCCAAAAGGATGCTAGGTTGACATCACCGTTCACTCTCCCGAATTCACACAGCTAGGTTGAACTTGATAAAGTTACATGCTATATATATGGTGTTGTTTTCTTAAAATCGCAACTATAGCAACGACTTGGAAGTATATATTTTGGAACTTTGAATCTTGTATCCTTGATGGAATCACAGTTTCCACATCAGGTCATGTGACTTACGTCCATATATAAATGCATACAGTAACATTATCTTCATTACGTAGAAACCAGTTACAATATACAAACCTGTCTGGCTTGACCATTTCCGGCGATCTCCACTCGGACCTTGCCTCGGACTGAAGCGGGAATAGAACCCGTGTCACATATAATTTGGCTAGCACTGACGCTGACGACTGCACACACACTGCCCTCTATACTTACGGCACAGTCAGACGCTGTCGTTCTGTATGTAAAACATAATGTGGTAGGAAGTTGTCAGCTCATCAAAACATCAAACCAAGATTCATTCAATATTTTAGGATTACCTAATTAACGAAACAATGACGATAGCTTTATTTGCATAAGAACGAACGAAAAATCGACGTTTCCTTAAAAATAACTAAGATAACCTTTCAAATTGAAAAGCGATAATAAAAATTGCATTCAGGAACAATCAGTAAATATTGCCCCTGTGTATCAATTTCAAAAGTTGGCAGTATATGCTATTTGTGTAAAGAAATGCAGCATACTAAGCTTTTTTAACATGTCTAAATGCTGGAACTAAATTGTTTGGAAGCCAGAAAAGAGGAAAATAATGCAAGGCAAAATATGTTTTTAGAAATAGATACAGATACAGGACTTATCAGAAATCGTCACGAATTGTAAGTGTTCTATTTGAAATGCGTACCCGAATCCTGAACCTGCAACTGTGATACGTGTCCCACCTCCTGTACCACCACGTGTTGGGGTTACTCCTGTGATGTCCGGTGTCTTTGTCGAATCATATGTGTAACTAAGCGTCTGAGTGACAGCATTAACGGTGATAGATACAGTACAGGCCTGTGTTGTGGTGCCTTAAATCACAGGTCAATACATATTATACAATTTATTTTTTTTCCGAATTTGCATGAAATATATTGGCTTCGATATCTTCAGGTACATATAATAAAATTATTTTAGAGAAGGAATTATTAATATCAAAATATTGATCACCAAAACTGATGCTGACATCGATTCAATGCTAACATGGATATGAAAGATAATATTATTTCTGCAAGAGTACAGTGTATAATACACAATCCATAAGCGACAACTCGAATCACATGTATCAAATGCTTCATACAGTAATTCAGATTCTTGAGTTTCATTTTACATAAGGATATCAATCAATAGACAGCGATAAATGAGTTATTCTATAAATAGTATCACAAATACCTGGAAAACTTGAGAGGTAATTGAAATTATTGTTTTTACGTGCCTTTTGATGATTAAACTCGCTCAATGTACATAATCTGGACGACAGGTGATTCACTAGTTGTAATCATCACGGAGGAGGTTGTGCAAACCTCAAACGAATAAGGCGAGAACAACTTACCTGTTGAAGCAGGTGTGACACAGATAAATTGTGTTTCTGTGGAATTGTATTTGGTTGATCGGATACATGGCTGGGAACAAATGGTCACTGATGTGGTGTTATCAAATCCGGATCCTGATATTGTCACCGTCTGGTCACCACTTGTACTTCCTGTTGATAAATGTTCATTGGCATGATATACCAGCAACACTTAATTATAAAACGGTAAATTATCAAGGCAAATTTATTCAAAATTGCAATACGCCAAATTATTGAACACATACATATAAATTACCTGAATTGGGACTGATACTAGAAGCAGACATATCGAAGGTAAATGTCTAAATGTCGTTATTTGAGAGTCCAATGCCTGCGACATCCACTAGTAACTCATAGCTTCCGGCCCTGTAGTTACCAACAATGCAAGTTATCTCCGTAGTTGAGGCCGACGTCACAGTGCACTCCCTGTCACCCAGAGTGACGTTGTTGTCGATTGTGTTTACCCCAAAATTTGAACCGCTCAGTGTGATAGTGTCTCCCGAAGACCCGGATGTTGGTGAGACGGATGCTACCACTGGCGTGGCTCCAATGGTGTGACTAAATGTCTCACTTGAATAGGTAGTTCCTCCTGATGTTACAATAAGGTCAAGATTATTTGCGGCAGCGTGCGCAGCTGTGGTGCAGACGACCTGCGAGAGTGTTACAGAGGTAACTGGGCAGTCAGTGCCATCTATAGTGACACCGGCGTCCGAACCGAATCCATTACCAAAGATGGAAACCGAGGTGCCGCCGTTAGTACTTCCGGCTGATGGGCTGACAGAACTTATCACTGCTTGACCAGTGACAGTAACGGGTGACGGGTCGTGCTTTGAGCGACCTTTCGGCGTAACATCTACAACCAATGACTGGGAGCCTACTGGAACAGCAGAAATGGTACATTGTATTTTGGTATCTGCAGCAATTGTTACAGCGCAAACCTCGCCCCCTACAGTCACACTTACGTCTGCTCTAGTACTTCCAAATCTCTTCCCGGTAATAGTCAATGTCGCTGAAGAACCGTCTAGTGTTGTGGGTGAAACAGACTCAACGCTAGGAGTAGACCCAAGGTCGTAGGTATAATCACATGACTGGGCATCACATTCTGCAGTCACCATCTGTCCTGCGGCACTGACCTTAACCTCTAGTGATTTGGTCCCATCAGTCAGCGACGATGGAGTGAAACAGACAATGTTAGTGTAGGAGAGAGAGTTGATAGGGCAAGGATAACCCCCAATTGTCACCGTGACATCCGACATAGTACCTTGAAATCCTGCTCCAGTGATGGTCAGTGGTGTACTTCCTTCCAATGATCCCAAAACAGGAGAGAAACTAGAAACAACAGGAATTGCAGCAAATGTCTTGGCTATCTGGCCGGGAATGGCTATACGGGCGCTTCCCAGGTTTCCTACACGGACATCTAATGCCTGCTGTACACCGACAGGGGGACTTGAAGATGAGTCAAGCTTACATGTAAGGGATGAAGCAGTGGCGGCGGAAACTGTACAAGAATCGCTACCAAACAAGACCTCGTTCTGGCATTTAGTGGTTGACAGTCCAGTTCCAGTTAAAACGATATCATCATTGGCTGTTCCATTATTCCTGCTGATTGATGTAATTGTTGGTGTCAGACATGACCAGAACTTGAAGTTAAACTTTCCAGAACCTCCACCCGTAGGTGCAGAATCTGAACAGCCGGAGATAGTACTAAGTGTACCGACACAGGATCCGGACGCTGAAGGGTTGCCAACACCTACACACATGACAAAAGTCATTGTATAACTTAAACTACGATTACCTTTAATGTAAGACCAAAAACAGTTTTATCAAAAAAAAAAAAAAAAAAAACATTGAATGTTGATAATTAGAAATATGAACTTTGCAACTGATTAAAAATCAGATCTATGAACAATTTTCCAATTTGAGTCGACGGGACAACATGGTAAAAATGGTTCAAGTCGGATTAATTTTCTTTGATTTCGTGGTTATTCTTAATCCATAAACTTATATGTTTAAATCATAATAAGTTGACTGGTTAAAAGAGCCGAGCACAAACGAAAAATACATGTTTTTACATCAAAGTTAATCTTTCATATAGCTAGTAAGAGTTCACACGTGAACTTTCCTATTTCAAATCATTATGACGTCTTACCCGAATTCTTGTCATAGACAGCCTCAATTCCACCAATTTTGACACTTAAGTCTCCAACATACGATGCCTTGGTTACCACGCTAATGGACCCTCGGAACCATGTAGTTGTATAGATATCTACATAATCACTCCAAAAGTATTTGGTGCCCAATGTATTAAACTTGAATTCAAAAGCGCCTGCAAAGAAAAGAAAATACACTTTCATAGTACAATATATATACACATGTTTTATTTTTCAAGGACTGTTGAAATTGTTTTATTGGATCATTGTGGTGTATGAGTGTAATGAACACTTTATTTGATCGCAATGATCTCTCTGTTAAGTAGTGGGTGTTCGTTAATATGGCTTATAGTGTCGATGTTTACCTTTGGGTAAATTCTCTGATGTAAAATTTTGCGCTTGGATTAAAATTATACAAATGGCGCAGTGCCAAAAAGTGTTGAAAGGACTTATTTTGTAGTGGTTCTACTAGTTTTTGCAATTGAATATCAACATAGTTGCGATTAAGTTTTTAGATGTTTTGTATACCATTTGATCAGGATGATTCTTACCTGTTTTTGTTCCAGTGGGACCACTACTGAAACCATCGGTTTCGGCTTCAATAGAACTAGCATTAGTGGTCTGTTGCACTCTCGGGTTCATTCCGGCCACCCAGGTTGGGTAGTCCCAAGTCCAGCGAACCGTGTCACCCTGATTCACTTGTAGGTTCTTTGGGTTCCAAGCATAACCAATGCCAAAAGCTGAAAACGTTTCAAATTACTTGCAAATCTCAGTTGAAACTCAAAAACATTTCTTTTTTTCCATTTCCTCTTTTTTGTTCCACCTGATTTGGTCAGGTTTTGCAATTTTCATTCTTACTTTTTCCCTCTTGCAACCATTATCAAACAATTTTGTAATATTGAAAGTTACTATCAAAGAGCTCTGAGTTTTATTTAACTATTTTTTCTCTATTTTCCTTATTTATTTTATTCAGTGACTGCATATGAATTCTAAGAAAAATATTACGGAATTAGTGTTTCTTCCCAAGGCCAACAACATCTACAAGTGTTACCCTGAATCATAATCCTCACCGAAATGCGATCCCTGATTGTCAATATTGTGGACTATTCCTGTGTCACCAATTTTGCATACGATCTGCGTTGACGTAGCAGTTGCAGCGTCAACATCACAGACGGTATCTCCAAATTTTACTTCAGCATCAGAACCCAAACCGTCTCCGGTAATGGTAACCATGGTCCCTCCATGGAGCGAGCCTTGAAGTGGGTAAACGTTGGTGACTTTCATGAGGTAGTCAACTGTAGGCACAGCATTTGAGCTGCATGATAAATAAATGTGTTAATCCATCACTTTGTGACAATTTGAAGGAATTTACAGAGATATGTTTACTGCATAGCGATATTACATACTACTTTGTACTACCAATACCAGAAAATGTGCATTTTCAACGATTAGCTTTTTTATTGATAAATCTTGGAGGTTTCTGTAAAAATCATATTACAGTCTTTGGCAAAATGTTTTTCCTTACAAAACTCATAAGATTACACATTTGAATAAAGTTGTAAGAATCGATTTTTCGTCGATGTATAATCTAATAAAAAATAACGTGAACTCCGTTTCATTTCATAATTTTCATTGGATATCATGCTATTTACCATGAAATTGATATCCATCTTATCTCATAATTCAGTTAAATTAAGCCTGCTCTCCGCTAAATCAAATGATATTCAAAATTCCATAACGTCTGATACTAGCTGGTAATATAACCAATGCAAACCTGTTAAGCATGTCTAACCTTTGAACTTCAACTTTCACACAGATATTAGAACATAACTACCTAGAAAGAACAGCAGCGCCATCTGTTCCAACGACAACTTGAACAGCCTTCAATCCTGGAGTAAGCGATGGAAGGGTAGCGGTCACTTGCGTGTTCGAATATATCGAAGGGGAGACAACTGTACCACCGATGATTACTGTTCCAGAGCTGCCAAATCCTGACCCGGAGATCGTTATTGTAGCTCCACCTGGCGTAAGATAACATTACATCAAACAATCAAACAACAACAACACTAAATATGAAAAACTAGGAAGAAAATCATAGAAAATGTTAGCATTGATGATATAGTACAGATATACTGTATTGTATTTATTATTATGATTCATTACAAACACGACTTTGAATTAAACTGACCTTTAACCCCTGATGTTGTTGGAGTAATGGAAGAGATCTGAGCGGTGATTCCAGAATCATATGTAAATGAGCTTGAGGCTGTAGACGATGGAACTCCCGCCATGGCCACAACCACAGATACAGCCCCAGCTGATGTCTTCAAATGCAAAACACACGAACAAATGGTCAAAACAATACAAAATATTACGTGGGAGAAATAGGACTGTAATCAAATTTACCAATACGAAAGTTCAATTAAGTGTTTGAATGATGAAGTTGGTATAACTATAACAGAGTACTGACCTTGGGAGGTATGACGCACACTATCTGGTCAGGGGATGTGGAGATGACTGGACAGTTTTGACCATCTACGGTCACTGTTGCATCGCTCCTGAAGCCATATCCATCAACAGTCAGATTTACGCCACCTAGAAAGCGAAATGAACCGACATCGACTTATTTAATGAGTCATATTACATTAAAAACTGTAGGGATTACATAGTACTTCAACAACTTGAAGAGGGTGTATAAACCATAAACTACAGAAGAGGGACATCGAAAACAGTGTAAACCGCTCAGACTACAAAAGAATGGTGGAGAAATCATAGATGGCTGTACTTACCGCCTAAACTACTGGACGATGGTGTGAAACTGTTGATTCCTGTAGTATAGATGTAACTGACGTCACCACCACTGTGTTGCGCCATTCCAGAACCAGCCACATTGGCATCTACCTTGTAAATGCCCTCTGGGCCGCTGCCAATTGTACAAGTAATTGATGTAGATGTGGATCCAGTCACAACACAGGCCGTGCCTCCAATCATTACAGAATTGTCAGCAGGTGTTCCACTAAACCCCGTCCCGGAGATGGTAGCGACTGTACCAGGGACCCCTGTCAAAAGTAGAGTTTGGTAGATCTGATTATCCAAAAAAAGTTCAACTTTCTACAATACGTTCATTATATATTATTATATAATGTTGCTCACTGGAGGTAAAATTATGAACATTCAAATAATATTTCATTAGTTTTAGTTTTAATGGAAAACATGTTCAATAACTTAAACTGCTTGGTCATAATAGGCAAAACTATTGATTGCAGGAAAAATCATTATCACGTTTCAATAAACAATTATCTTAAGGGATCATGTGATTAGATGACTATTCGAACTGTATCATCCAGTAGTTTAATTCTAAAAATATCAAAACAAAACAAAATGTCAAAATCCCATTAATTGCCGCATTGTTTGATAAATTTGTATGTATAATACTTTCAAAAGGTATGAGAAAAGCGTGCTTTTGTAATAGCTATATCTCTGACTCGAGGTCTAGTGGATTGAGGCTTGAAAAGACTGAACAGGCTCATATTGTTATAACGTAAAAGATAGATATGAAAGGACAACCCGGAACGAAGTCAGGATAATTTGAATAAGTCACTTCTCTAAGGATTTCCTCTCCTTGTGCATTTTGAAGACTTACCTGTACCCGGAGATATGCCTGTTACTGTAGGCGTACTACTCATTAACCATTCAAAGTCACATGTTCCAGAACATTTAGTCGGCACATCATTGATAAATGTCGTCACCTGGAGCACAAATATGATTTTAAAAATGTGCGATAAACCTCTAACTAACCAACATACAGCTTTCAAAAATATTTGTCTTTACATTCTTTTATCTCTAAACTTATACACTAGGACTACTCCAGGAGAATCATTAACGAGTCAATATTTTCACGTCTTCACACATTTTGTTACTTATCTATATTAATCTTTATTTGTTCTTGAATATCCCTTCCATGTATTAAACTAAATAACCAGATTCTTTAAATTTAAGTTTAAAGGTTATGTTAGTACTATGTTTAAAATAAAACAAAAATGGTGTTTTCTGTAAAGATCATCAATACTGAACAGATTCAACTTGATTGATGATTTCAAAAATTAAAAAAAAATCGATTATCTTTCAGATAGAACGAACATCAGTAACTGACATAAGTACCTGTGCTTTACTATCGGGAACTCTGAGTAATTCCCCTGGTATAGGATCAAAAACAACATGGCCGTCTGTCACATCTTTAGGTAGCATGACAACAGATTCTCCTGTAAGACGACTAGAGTCAACCTGGGAAAATAACCAACAAATAACTTCAGAGAAAGGATGCATTATCTGTAAATTGGATGCACCTTCTACATATTTCACTGAAGCAAGTGTTTTTCTATATCTGTGTTTAAATTCAAGACTTTTTTCACCTGAATTAGCGCCTGGTCCCCGGCCAAAGAGTCGTAAGTTATCATCCAATTGAAATTGGCGCAATCTCCGTCTTTTGTAACCGATGCATCATTGAGACCCTCAATTGACTTCAAGTTGTCTGCTAAACTGTCTGTATCAATGTCGGCCGGCATTGCTTTTTAAAGGATTAAATAAAAACAGACACGTGCTAGAATATTTCAGTAGCAAAATCGTGGTTGATTGTACAAAAGTCACAAAGAAAATAATGACACCTTTTTAAATAAAACTTTAGAATTATGTTCAGTTCTGTATGAAATAAAACAAAATGTACCCAATAATGATTAAATTTCTATAATAAAGAGTTGTCTTTCTTTTAAGAGCTCTTCAGCATTCACATTTTTTTATTGATTGTTTTTCTCCAATGATAATATCAACAATGATACTAATAAAACGAAAACGAAAAATTCACAAAAATTGAAACAAAAGAAAAAGAAACAAAGAAATAGATATAATTAAAACTATTTATCAATAGGTCAATGCACAAGGAGTTTAAATTATTGATCTTAAAACCCTATTCACCAAGTAATCGAATTGTCGTTACTCACCAGGAGTTGTCGTTCCTAAAAATGTTACAGTAAACGTGCCCTGGATCGGAGGAGATGCTGCTTGAACTCTGGACCCGGCCACGTTTGCCCCAGAAGGAGTCTTTGACAAAACGTACAGATAAGTTTTCTGGTGTTATTTGTTGGTACATTTCTAGCGTGTCATGTCTCTTTACATTATATTCTATATTTTCCTTGAAAAAATCGTATTTGTTAATTCATATTTCCCTCTAATCAATCTCATTTCTTGTTTTCTTTATTTGGAAATATAAGGAAAAGCATGTGTTCTGTTTAAATAAAACCCAGTCTTATTTTTGTTTCGAAGTTTTTGTATTATCTCTAAAGAATTGAGAAGTATAACATAGGGATCCTTTATATTATTTGGGTCTATATCTCTAAAGAATTGAGAAGTATAACATAGGGATCCTTTATATTATTTGGGTCTATATCTCTAAAGAATTGAGAAGTATAACATAGGGATCCTTTATATTATTTGGGTCTATATCTCTAAAGAATTGAGAAGTATAACATAGGGATCCTTTATATTATTTGGGTCTATATCTCTAAAGAATTGAGAAGTATAACATAGGGATCCTTTATATTATTTGGGTCTATATCTCTAAAGAATTGAGAAGTATAACATAGGGATCCTTTATATTATTTGGGTCTATATCTCTAAAGAATTGAGAAGTATAACATAGGGATCCTTTATATTATTTGGGTCTATATCTCTGAAGAATTGAGAAGTATAACATAGGGATCCTTTATATTATTTGGGTCTATATCTCTAAAGAATTGAGAAGTATAACATAGGGATCCTTTATATTATTTGGGTCTATATCTCTAAAGAATTGAGAAGTATAACATAGGGATCCTTTATATTATTTGGGTCTATATCTCTAAAGAATTGAGAAGTATAACATAGGGATCCTTTATATTATTTGGGTCTATATCTCTAAAGAATTGAGAAGTATAACATAGGGATCCTTTATATTATTTGGGTCTATATCTCTAAAGAATTGAGAAGTATAACATAGGGATCCTTTATATTATTTGGGTCTATATCTCTAAAGAATTGAGAAGTATAACATAGGGATCCTTTATATTATTTGGGTCTATATCTCTAAAGAATTGAGAAGTATAACATAGGGATCCTTTATATTATTTGGGTCTATATCGCTAAAGAATTGAGAAGTATAACATAGGGATCCTTTATATTATTTGGGTCTTAGTCATCTATTTATCAAAATGTCTATGTTTCTTACCTGTGACGAAGCGGAAGTGAAAAGTGGGAAATTGTATCCACAATTAAGCGGGACAATGGTAACTTGGTGACTACCTGCTGACCCAGTCACTGTGACACTATCTACTTGTACACCGTTTGGTGTGGCTGCCTTTAGACGTTGCATCGCGATTCCAGCTGCAGCAGATAATTAAGAATTAAGATCGATTTTGACTTGATATTTAATAATGCCAACTTGTAGCTGACTAACAGTTACGAATTGAATCAATTTAAAGAGGTCATGGGTCTACCTATCTAACGAACAAGGGGCGAAATTGTTTTGGTAAGTGGACAATGCAGAACTACATGAAAGCTATCGAGAGGCATAGTTCACAAACAAGCCTTATCTGATTTAGATAATACCGATAGACGACATTCTTAATTAAAAACAAAACAAAAAAAGAAACGATTTTCACAGTGTTTCAATTTTCAAAAATTTTAAAAAGTCTGCCCCGTGTTTCTTTTAATTACATTTTCATGGTATCTATTTTTGTGCGATTTCAATTAATGCATGAAAATAGCGAAAGCATTATCTATAACAAGTAAGAGTATTTTGTGTAATCAACTGTGTCCTTGATACAGACTATAAAAATATCACGTGATCCAGAGACATTTCTTAAAAACTTGTGTTTAATTTTAATGCAAAAATACAATTAAATCTACCATCAGTGGTGGGCGTTGTTGTACCCATGTACACTTCATCGATGTACATATCTCCGGAACGATAGACAATTACTGTATTCAGGAAAAATCTGCTTCCTCCAGTTGCGATGGCGCTCAAAGCAGTCAAGACCTCGACACAGCTGTATTCCCACCTAGAAGGGAACCAAAAATGCTTAGTTGAATTTATTGATCCAAGCTAATATTTGAAGATGAATATTTTGGTAAAATAAAAAACGGTTTTTTGCGCGGGTTCCGGTATCATGATTAATGAAGATCAAAATAATAAAATACATTTATTTCCTTTAAGCACTGAACTGATTTTAGTCGGCATCATCTTTCAAGTGCACATTTGTTGTATGTTTCAGACTTCCTTAAACAATATCCCTAATACAGAAATACATACGATGTAGTTCCGGTTGTTGTAATGACGTTTGACAATGTTGCCCATGCATCAACAGACTCTGATTGTTGGTTTGTGTATGTGTACGACACCCTGAGGTTAGTCCCGATAGCCCCTTGATGAGCGAAACATAGCTGTAATAAATTGACATGTTTTGGTTACGTGAAAGTTTAATAATCACTAGCTGTTTTATACTTTGTATTTAATGATATAAGAACGGTTATCGTGTTTTCCAGTGATAAATAAGGTCCTTGTTTATCAGTAGAAGTTAATGAGAGGTAGATAAAACAAGTCATTTAACCTACTACTGATCTGCTGTAGAGCCATACTATAGACCTGAATAGTGTATTTCTCCTTACCAGGTACTAGCTAAATTTCGCTAAACTAATTCAGTTCAGCGAAACAATCAATCCATTATACAGCTGTTTCGTCTTTTTAGAAGTAAATACCTTTGGGCTCAGCGTCAAGGAAAGTGGATCAGTGTTTGAATCAGATCTGAAGATATATCTCGGGTTTTTGACGACAAACTTGCCGCAGAAGGCTTCCATTTCTTTAAAACGGTTATATCGGTTGTAGGACGGGGTAGAAGAGGAAGATTCAAATGTGTACTGCACTTTCTTTCCAGCAGGGCTCGATATATGTGACGGACATCTTGTGCTGAAGAGTGTCTCCATTGCAGTTTGTACCTTGATGATAATCATCGTTAATATTATCAAAATGTTAATTTAAGAACTCCTTGTAAAGCGTAGTATGATTTCGTGGCCAAACTGGCACCATGCGGTAATTCTATATTCATGTACAGCGCCACAAAATAGACTGTAAAGCTAAATAAATCTGAACTGTATTCAATAGTATTTGTATGAGAATTGTCAATAAAACCAGAGGTACTCTACATTCAGAAGTGAATGTATTACAATAAACTGGTAGCAAAGAAGAAAACACTTCTTGTACTTTAGAACATCATACTAGAAGGTGTTATCTGATATAAACTATTCACTGAAAAGTCAAGACAAGAAGTAAAATACAATAGTATGTAATCTAAAATAAACCAAACAGCATTACTATCGGCACTATATTCAGTTGACAAGTTCATACCTCGCTAGATGACGCCCCTGGTGACAAGAGCGGTGCAGGAACTCCAGCAATAGACAAAGCCACCACTGCACCACTCGGAACTCCAGTTGTTGTCTTGGTTACGCTCACTGTAAGTGAAGCTGAAGTCTCGAAATCAAAGGCTGGGAAGTCTCCTGAAACAAATTGCATCAATGGAAGGTCAGTATCTCCAGTGTCCCCTAATTGCGTCAGGTCATATTTGATGTGATATAATTGACATATCAGAAATCAGGAACATTATAAGATCAAGTGAAGAAATTCATCATACCTATCAATGACGAAGGGCGAACGGAACGACGTAAATACTGATAAAATAGGTCAATCGATGATGGATCGTTACTAAGGAAGGAGAGATATACATGATAGTATATGTTTTGTACACATGATCTCATCAAATGATTAAGTTTACAGGTACTTACCCCTATCCGATGTAAAGGTGATTGTGTATTTGAAGCCGTTCGTGGAGGTAGTTTGTGACGTAACAGATACACTTTCACCGCTACTAAACACTGGGAGCTTATTGATAGCTGTCGCTACATCAGCGGAGTCCGCCTGGAACGCGATTAAATCTGCAATCATAAATAGTTTAGGGTTTTGAAGGAATAACGATAGTACAGATAAGGAAAGGTAGACAACTAGCCAGCCATGAGGACCGAAGAAAAATATTAAAATTCTAGCGGAGTCTTGTGAGAAGTATGAGTTAGTATGCTTATATAGCAAGAACTGGGTATTTTCTATGGACAGAAGTAGGGACACTTTATCAACAATTTCACGTTCTGTAAACGGACTGGTTTCAGATTTTGTTTCACATGAAGGCCAGGCTATGCTAACATATATGATATAATTAACACGGGCTATGCATATGTAATTAATCAGCAGTGAGCATAAGTAAGGACTGTTTCCTCTCATCATGTACCTGTAAACGCATTGTAAAGGGACAATCTGAACTGGCCTCCTGATCCAGATACTTTCTCCTCAATTGTGACTTCCTGTACAGCAGAGGTCGAAGATCCGGTAGTAAAACCAGAGAAGGTGATATCCTGGATCTCACGTTTAATGGTAGATGTAACCTCTATCTTTTGAACTTCCGACTTAGCGTTGTTTGTGTAAGCCCTTGTTAAATTTGTATCGTAGAAGCGAGCTGAAACTTTGGCGTACGCCCCAACTGTTCCTTCACGGTGATAGACTTCCATATAATATCTACAACAATCAATAAATGCGTTATATAGTTAATGTACAAAATCTGTATAAACTCTTCGTTTGTATCTATATAAAATTCACCCCTAATTTTTAGTTTCTCGGCAGTTGTCTCTTTCAATTATTTTCTTCAGAGACATGTATAGGAGGATAACTTTTAGAGAATGTAAGAAGAGTTGTAAATGCGAATTTATAATATCATAATGTGCAAGAAATCTCAACAGAAAAGATTAATTTCAATGTACAGGTACTTAATTTTAAACACAAAGGAGGAGTAACGCAATGATGGGCTAAATGGTTTCCCACATACATCAGCGATAAAGCTTTTCTTGAAAAATGGAAACTTACCATAACCAACTAAAACATTCAATAAAGCTGTCAAATGAAATCTGACAGAAATATTGGCAATCACTGTCTTTGAGCCTGTACGTACATGTTCCACAATAATAATGTCCCACAATAACATCGATTTAAATGATATTTTACATTGAATAGTAATGAGTTTGTGTCTCGTCCAATCGTGATGTATCATGATATCTGCAATATGTTGACCATTTTCCTTATGACATATGATAATAACTATTTTGGTCTATAAATATATTTACATGTTGACCACTTTCTGAAGACCTAAGACAATATCAACTGTTTTTGTCTATAAAATATCTGTACACTATGGTATTTTTACCTGTTAGCCTTGGCCAGGTTTTTCCTTGAGGAACTCTGACTAATGGCGCTATCATAGTTGCTTGTAAGTCCCGCGTAAGCAATTCTCACCTAATGAATAAACATATAAAGTCTAAGAAAACATGCACTCTTTGCTATAATTATTAATTGGTATGAGGTTTCAAACGACAGAACACACATCAAATAAATGGAATTGCATCTTATTGAAAGGATAAGACAAACTGAGGTCGGAAACAGCGCAAGTATAGTATACCGATATATATAAAACTATCATTTGAACTCAAATAAACACGACAAAAATGAGTTAAAGTGGGGAAAGCACGAGCCTTTATAAGAAGAAATGTGAAAAAGGACAATGATAATGCAATCATATGTTCCGGAATGATACGCGTCTTTAAGATATTGAAAACTTGTACAATGTACAGCCTTATCAAGTAGAGCAAGTTAACAGCAATGCAATCACTGATCACACCAATGCATTGAATAATCGTAGCTTAATTCCGATCAACTATTCATAAATAGCATTATGAAAAAAACATTGAATGGAGGGATATTCTCATTACCGCTTAATGACACACAGTAAAAGGCACCATAGTGTTGAAAATAAGCAGCTGTCTTCAAAAGTAGTGAGTACTTAACTACCCCTGCAGTCAAAATTCAATAGTTACCCATTTATTTTGAATCACAAAGCATTTGAAATTCCTATTTCGGCACGCATCATAAAGATTACTTTCGTTTGACCAGTTTAAATACTGAGGTAGAAGATGTATTATCTGCATAATATAGGGCAGAATAAGTCGCACGCAAGAGTGCAAACTTCTTTTAGATATAAGCATAATGTTTACCGTTCTGAAGAAGACATGTACATCCAACATATCTAAGCTGAAATAAAATTCCATGACTAACCATATTGGCAGGGTCATCGTCAGTGCTGAGATAAAGTTCAGCCCCATCATCTGCCATGATATGGAAACTGTAGGATCCGTCAAAAGGTGGTTTGAAGAATCCGCTCATTTTCGTGACCATATTATCCATGGTACTGTCAGTGTAGTATGCCTCATCTAGGAAATCCGTGAAGTAGTCTCCGGCACTACTGTCTAGAGCTCCAACTTCGGACAAAAGAGCCTGTGTCTTTGTGGTGGCATTCCAGATCTCAAGCTTTAGACCACGGTTTCCTAAGCAAATAATGAAAATACATAGTTTTCATCCAAAAGAAACAGTATTCACAGAGTGTTTAAACCTACAGGTCAATATATACGATAACGAGGGGTCTGAGAGACTAGATTGAAAGCGAAGCTCGGTGTGAAGAGAGAGTGAACATCATGTTCCTGTGAGGGATGTATAGCTGAGGGACATAGACACAACGCAATTAGCATAATAAAAGTTATACGATCAAACCAGAAAACATGTTGATGGTGTGTAACAGATACTACCTGCATGTTTGGCTGGAGTCGATACCGGTTTAGCTGCAGTCTCGCATGTAATCAGTGTTTTACTCACGGCGCCCTTTATAGTACAGGGCGTACCTATAATACAAACAACATTTTAAGTTAGCAAGGTTTGTGTATGCCTTTATTTTCCTGAATTACTAAAGACAAATTGCATATCGCTCATAAAAGTCAATAGAATAAAATAAAATAACTCGTGAGACTGTTGATTTTTAATGACGGTTATAAAACTAAGACAGTCTTCAAAATAGCTAAGAAAGTCAATAGAAAATTATTGGTATTGTATTTTGTTTTGTTTTGTTTGTTAATCCCCCCCCCCCCCCCTACTCTCTCCGTAAAATTGTTGTTATGTGTAAAGTACATCGTTCAAAACTGGATTTGAATTTATTTTTGGTAGCTTCTTCGCGCGTGTTTCATAAACTTAGGGACATAAGTCAATAGTACACGCCATTCTCATATGTATGATACGTAACAAAATCAACATCGCTAAATTACATACCCTTTAGAAATCAAGACAATTAATATGGCTTAATTGATACCTACCTCCAACCATTACAACGGCACCAGTGCGAGATTCGTCAAAGTTATTTCCGTTGATGGAGATCAGGGTTCCACCCTCCACACTGCCAGTGGCTGGGGTGACCGAGGTTATCTCTGATAAATAGAACACGACCATTTAACATGAACAGAAGTATAATGAAGAACGGAGTCCCACCCTCCACACTGCCAGTGGCTGGGGTGACCGTGGTTATCGTGGATAAATAGAACACGACGTTTCAACATAAAAAGAAGTATATGTATCAGAAGCAATTTCGTGAAACTCGTTTTTTATATCAATGTTAATGAAATTATCAAAACACCAAAATATTCAGTTGGCTTTTGTTAACCAGTAGGAACCAAGAAATTTACAATTCAAGAAAAGTCTATATGGGTAGAATGAAAGCACTATCTCCGCCCACAATAAGTTTAGAACTTACTGCTCGTGTATAGTTTAACATACAGAATCTATTACCTTGTTTACAATCCCGTAAGGTATGTTTTATGATGATTATGTCTCATTTCATGGTTAAACAATGTACATACCAGCGTAAGTCTGGAACATGTAGAACTGGTAATTCCCACTGACTTGGTATAAGTCCTTACTTGGTTCAGCCCTGAACATAACGCAAATAGATTCTGATTTGACAAATACGAAGTTTAGTACTTTTTTATTCACACTTGAGTAATGTTTCTAAAGGTAAAAGCGCATGATGTTTCTTTTTCGTAATACGTAAAACAAATGCTATAATTCATTAGAAAATGGCAACAAGCGACATTCAAATTGAAAAAAAAATCTACTCACCTTCCGTACTCATCAGAAATGATGAAAGTGCCATTGATGTTCCCTATAAGTAACCAAATACAAATGTTGATATTCAAGGGATTGTGACAGATGTTTGATAAGGTTTTAGCATTGTTAGTATCGACTCAGGAGGTTGACATGTCGATAAACCTTCATATTAACTTTTGGGGCAGAGTGAGAATTCTCTAAATGTTCCATGTCATTTTGAAATATTGCATAAGCAGAGCATTGATAGAATAACAAAAAGACAGTATGGTGGATACAAAGCGGAATGTCACAATAAAAAGTATTGTTCTATGGTTAAAAACAAACATCGATCTAGGATTTTATTAATCTATTTAATTTTATTTCTTATAAATTCAAATTTGAATTCATTGGTTAAACACATAATAATCAAGATATAAAATTTACAGTTTTTAAACACACGTTTAAAGCACTTTAAAATGGAGTCACTACGGGTTTTGTGCAGAAAGTGTGTGTTGTGTATGTCGGGTATACAGGTGAAATTGACAACATCTTATCATACTTATTTTCCGCTCTAAATCTACAAATAATGGCCTTTCAATCAAACGACACAAGTGAAGTTTATTGTATAGAAATAGTGTGGTATATATTAATTTCACTATCACTACAAACATTGACCGACTAGCTGACCAGTGGTCAATCGATTACTTACCTATTTTAGTGCCATTCACTCCGATTTTACATTTGATATAACCATCATCACTGTCACCGTTGTTGTCCAACTGGATCCCATAACTGTGGAGACAATAACTTGTTATAAAATATTGATGATGAAAATAACTGTCTTTTTAACTTTTTCCTGGGAATAGAAACCATCGATCCGTACCATTTGAGCAGCCAACACAGCTAAAAAATGTGTATAAAACGTGATGTCTGGTTTAGACATATTAGCTTTTACGAATAAAACTGGAACTGTACAAAACACATACATGGCGGATGTCATCAATACAGTAGAAGACGCTTACTTTTCCGAAACACCTTGCCTTTGCTCCTTGTATTTTGTCCACGAGTCTCGATGTAAATCTTTCTTTTGGTCATATTTTGCCCTAGTTTTGTTGCATCTGAGTTTGCATTATGATAATGTTGGCATACTGGTATTTTCTTGTTGTATTTAATGTTTGATATATGTATACACAATAAACATTAAGTACGAGAAAGTAAGCAAGGACTATCTATACAATGAAGATTTGATTACATTGGTCTGAACGTTTTCGGCGGATGAACTGGATACTTACAATACGTCATCTGCTTGCTTCAGCTCACAATTTTGACCCCCAACATAAACTCTACAAGACAAAGCATGGATCTAGCATCAAAACCAAGCGTTCCTTTATCTATGCTTTCAAAATCGTTTTGGGAAGAATAAGTGTTACTCTGTTCAATTTCTAGCTGCATGATACTGCTCGAGTAGCGAAAACTTAACATATGTATTGTTATATGTACTCGCCATTCTTTCTCACGATATCTACCTAAAAGTTTTTTTTTTTTTTTTAATACCTAGTCTAATATTATGTTTACTTTTCATTCTTCTTGGTTACGTGGAGTTAGAATTATTCGTTGCATTTTATTCATTATCTGGATCTGCAATAGTTTTTTAAACTAAATCCTCACTCACATGACAATTGTTTTCATGAAATAAACATACCGTACAATATTGACTGTTTTCCCATTGGAACTTTCATCCTTGTTACTTCCATACATATCTGTGAAGATCTTTCCAGAAAGTGTTATAATTGTACCTGGAACCCAGAAAATTGTATCCTGTAACACTTATAATACTAATGATTGACTTCTCAGAATCAACAAACAGGCTATTTCTGTGTCTGATGTAAATATGGACACTTTATCTTACGAAATATCTTTAGATTCAATCTAACTTTATTTCAATAATCTACAAAAGTCGCATGTAAATAGCACCTTTCAGTACAATTTAGAATCAGATATACACAGTTCAGCCCAATCATGAGTTCAATAGTACCACATAGATGTTCTGTCGGCATCATCATTTAAACTCTTACCGTGTTAGAGATTTACAACTTGACATACATGTAGATCTCATATATACCATGTTTATCATACAATGTATATCATAAATGTTTATCATAATTTGTCTATATACTATTGAAGTGATTAAACAACGATCGTGTTTTGCCATTATATCAATGTTAGCCTCTCAGAAGGTTACATTGTCTCACAAGATTTCGTCATAACATGAGATAAAGACTATAGTCAAATAAACAGAAATTATAGATATTGTACGTACATGACTCTTTGTAAATAAATAACGTAGCTATAAAACCAGGGAAAAAACAACGGTTTCCTACCTGGAGGACCAGAACGAGGCTCAATAGAAGTAACGGTTGGTGTGTTTGAATCACTAGGCTGAAATTGTAACAAGAAATCGTTATAATCGTGAACGTGTTCAAAATAGACTATGTTTTACTTAATAGTGACGTCACTGGAGAAAAGTCCGAGTAATAAAGGGTTGTGTTGTACATAAAAATTAATTTACTTGAAAAACAAGTGTTATTGATTTTTTATCAATATGTAATCGTGTAAGGTGACCTGCAGTACGTATGTTTTAAAACAGAAAACTCAGATGTGATACATGACAAGACATTTAAAATGTGTTGAAGTCACTTTCCTTTTTCAGACAATGTTGCAAAATTGATATATCTTATGTTTGAGTCAAACACAATGACATACTTACAGCAAAAGGACAGTCGTTACATATGTTGCTGTCGTCGATTGAAACCCCATCAACAGCTACTTTAACTGAGTATGAGTCAGCCGGCATACGACTATCAAGGAATAGAAAATAAGAATCAATTATCAAAATTCACCCATAATTGTTTGACTTATGAGACATTAAAATTCTTAAAATTACGCATAATCAATAAACATATTTTAAAAGTAATCCATTTTTTACACTAAGATCGACACATGTTGTTGCAGATATCAAATTTGGAACACAACAACGGTTCAAAAGAGTCACAGAGACATAGAACCTTTGTCAAACCAATTAAAGGACAGGAAATGATCACGAGCTAAGATGACGTCATACTTACAGAGTATCGCACTGGATCTGTGTCTCGTGGGTACCATCTTTATGAATGGGACAGTCAAACTGATGGGTCCCCGATACCAGTGTGACAGTGTTACCGAGGTGAGAGTTTCCTTCCCCATAGTTAAACTGATTCTGGGCGAAGCCGTTACCTGCAATTGTTAACCTAACCGCTCCATTTGTACTTCCTTTGGAAGGATTTACACTGGTGACATCGGCACTTTCTGTAATGCAAAAAATAAGACTAGTATAATCAACATGTAAACAAAAAATGCATAACAAAAGGAACATGAATGACATAAGGGAATTGAAGTTCTATAAATCTTGACTACCAAGCGAGACTCGAACCCGTATCGCCTTGGTGAAGGGAGAAACCAACTTCGCTACCCAAACACTTTATACTGTTTTTGAAACAGTTCTTGTGTATTTAAGACTTGCTGTATGATCCTCATTAAATGATTTGTGAGCTTCGAATGGCATAAACTTGAGAATGCAAAAGTTGACTTGAACCGATGTCGAAAGCAAAAATTACTGTATTGATATAAAAAGTAACATTTGTGTCACACATTCTAATGTAACATTCGTGTCACATTCTAATGTAAACATTCGTGTCACACATTCTAATGTAAATATTTGTGTCACACATTCTAATGTACCATTTGTGTTACAGATTCTATTGTAACATTTGTGTCACACATTCTAATGTACCATTTGTGTTACAGATTCTATTGTAACATTTGTGTCACACATTCTAATGTAACATTTGTGTCACACATTCTAATGTAACATTTGTGTTACAGATTCTATTGTAACATTTGTGTCACACATTCTAATGTAACATTTGTGTTACAGATTCTATTGTAACATTTGTGTCACACATTCTAATGTAACATTTGTGTCACACATTCTAATGTAAACATTCGTGTCACACATTCCAATGTAACATTTATGTCACACATTCTAAAGTAACATTTATGTCACACATTCTAATGTAAACATTCGTGTCACACATTCTAATGTAACATTTATGTCACACATTCAAATGTAAACATTGTGTCACACATTCTAATGTAACATTTGTGTCACACATTCTAATGTAAACATTTGTGTTACAGATTCTATTGTAACATTTGTGTCACACATTCTAATGTAACATTTGTGTCACACATTCTAATGTAACATTTGTGTCACACATTCTAATGTAACATTTGTGTTACAGATTCTATTGTAACATTTGTGTCACACATTCTAATGTAACATTTGTGTCACACATTCTAATGTAAACATTCGTGTCACACATTCTATTGTAACATTTGTGTCAAACATTCTAATGTAACATTTGTGTCACACATTCTAATGTAAAATTGTGTCACACATTCTAATGTAACATTGTGTCACACATTCTAATGTAAACATTTGTGTCAAACATTCTAATGTAACATTGTGTCACACATTCTTATGTAACATTGTGACACACATTCTAATGTAGCATTTGTGTCAAACATTCTAATGTAACATTCGTGTCACATTCTAATGTAACATTGTGACACACATTCTAATGTAGCATTTGTGTCACACATTCAAATGTAAACAATGTGTCACACATTCTAATGTAACATTGTGACACACATTCTAATGTAGCATTTGTGTCACACATTCAAATGTAAACATTGTGTCACACATTCTAATGTAACATTGTGTCACACATTCTAATGTACACATTTGTGTCAAACATTCTAATGTAACATTGTGTCACACATTCTAATGTAACATTTGTGTCACACATTCTAAAGTAACATTGTGTCACACATTCTAATGTAGCATTTGTGTCACACATTCAAATGTAAACATTGTGTCACACATTCTAATGTAACATTTGTGTCACACATTCTAATGTAACATTTGTGTCACACATTCTAATGTACCATTTGTGTCAAACATTCTAATGTAACATTGTGTCACACATTCTAATGTAACATTTGTATCACACATTCTAATGTAACATTTGTGTCACACATTCTAATGTAACATTTGTGTCACACATTCTAATGTACCATTTGTGTCACACATTCTAATGTAACATTGTGTCACACATTCTAATGTAACATTTGTGTCACACATTTAAATGTAAACATTGTGTCACACATTCTAATGTAACATTTGTGTCAAACATTCTAATGTAACATTGTGTCACACATTCTAATGTAACATTTGTGTCACACATTCTAAAGTAACATTGTGTCACACATTCTAATGTAACATTTATGTCACACATTCTAATGTAACATTGTGTCACACATTCTAATGTAAACATTTGTGTCATACATTCTAATGCAACATTGTGTCACACATTCTAATGTAACATTCGTGTCACATTCTAATGTAAACATTCGTGTCACATTCTAATGTAACCATTCGTGTCACATTCTAATGTAACATTGTGACACACATTCTAATGTAGCATTTGTGTCACACATTCTAATGTAAACATTGTGTCACACATTCTAATGTAACATTTTGTCACACATTCTAATGTAAACATTTGTGTCAAGCATTCTAATGTAACATTGTGTCACACATTCTAAAGTAACATTTGTGTCACACATTCTTATGTAACATTGTGACACACATTCTAATGTAGCATTTGTGTCACACATTCAAATGTAAACATTGTGTCACACATTCTAATGTAACATTTGTGTCACACATTCTAATGTAACATTTGTGTCACACATTCTAATGTAACATTTGTGTCACACATTCTAATGTACCATTTGTGTCAAACATTCTAATGTAACATTGTGTCACACATTCTAATGTAACATTTGTGTCACACATTCTAATGTAACATTTGTGTCACACATTCTAATGTACCATTTGTGTTACAGATTCTATTGTACCATTTGTGTCACACATTCTAATGTAACATTGTGTCACACATTCTAAAGTAACATTGTGTCACACATTCTAATGTAACATTTGTGTCACACATTCTAAAGTAACATTGTGTCACACATTCTAATGTAACATTTATGTCACACATTCTAATGTAACATTGTGTCACACATTCTAATGTAAACATTTGTGTCATACATTCTAATGTAACATTGTGTCACACATTCTAATGTAACATTCGTGTCACATTCTAATGTAAACATTCGTGTCACATTCTAATGTAAACATTCGTGTCACACATTCTAATGTAACATTTGTGTCACACATTATAATGTAACATTGTGTCACACATTCTAATGTAACATTTGTGTCACACATTCTAATGTACCATTTGTGTCACACATTCTAATTTAACATTTGTGTCACCCATTCTAATGTAACTTTTGTATAATACAGTCTCTAATGTACTGTATCTACCTGATCAGAAAGGATGACGTTTAAAAATTGAAAGCTAACAAGAGGCCATTAAAATGATATGTTATAATACATTACTGTACGTTAGTACTTAACAGTTGTGAAAAAAATATGAATTGATGTTTGTGCGACAGATTAATAGATAAAATAAAAGATTAAAGTCACAATCGAAATGTACTTTAATACTAGGGAAACATAGAACAGTGATCTCGTTTGGTTTAGAAACGATTAAATATTTCAATAATCAAAATCGTTTTGTAACAAAAACCAGTTGTTTACACTTCAGATGTTGGACACAATAACTTAATTATTTACAGAATTACATCCTTTATAGATAAGACGTTATAAGTAAATGTGACTGACATCAAACAAGATTTATACAAAATATTTGTTTTTGTAATTACCATATATGTTTACCTAACTGGATACAGTTTATAACGTCCAACCCTACAGCGTAATCTGCTATCGTCTCAGCCCATACTAAGTATAAGAAGATTAGGTAAGTCTATCAAAACATAAATCGGTACTTGTTTATGGCAGAAATGTTATCTTTAAACATTAGCTATGATACACAGTTGTCGGGAAATGTCTTACAAAGTATCTAACATTAACCTAAAACGCAGGTGTATAAACACATTTCCGATTCCCAAGTCCTTAGTTGTACAAAAACCACAGGTGACTTTATTAATTAATTTTCCTGTGGGCTAGTTATTATAAATATTAAAACACGACTAAGATGAAAAATCAACAAAACCTATTATGACTCGTCTCTGTGACAGACATATAATTGACGAGTGTCCATACCTAATTCTTTTATATATCAAATCTCCCTTTAAACGAACAAAGGCAATTTGTGGTTTGTTTATAATAAATGTTTATTCTTTTAAGTCGGTGTTTCAATATATCCAGTGATATGATCGTTTTCTCGGTGCCCAGGTGTCCGACATCTATACAAGTGGTATATATACTCAAGGGATAAAGTAACGCAACGTGACAATTTTTCTTGCAATATCTTGTAAACGCATTGTTCAAAAACAATGAAAACCAGTCAAGCAAATATTTAGGTCACAATGCACGTGGCCCGATATCGCACGTTGCATTATTGTATTGCGTGATGATGTCTTTCAGCAGTGTTGTGGCGCTGAGTTACACTGCTCGTCATACATTTTGGTTAATTTCTGATAGCATTAACCAATGGACCTGTTGACAGAAGTTCAGAGGGGTCAGGCCATTGCGATGATTATGCAAGGTCAACGGTAAATACAAGTTGCTAGACATCTCGGTGTGCATATTTGTACTATAGAACGTCTTTGTAGACGAAAAACGGAAACTGGGCGGATTGTCACCTAGATGTAGAGATGAGATCCTCCGACCCCATGTTGTCCTATTATTGCAAAAAAACAATTTCACATTCCAGCAGGATAATGCTGAACGCCATACATCCCCGACCTATCCCCTATTGAGCAGTTGTGTGACCAGCTGGATAGACTGGTTCGACGACGCCAGCATTCCCCGATTACTCTGGCGTATGAAATCAAGGCTGTGAAGAGAGCGAATGGGGAATATGCCTGGTATTGACTAGCCAGCTACCACAATCAGTCCATATCGATATCAGGTTACAGGGTTCTGTTTCAATTCCTTTCAATAACTTCTAAATCACTTACCAGATACAAATCGTTAATATAGCAGTCTGTTCTGTATTGATCCATCTTCATTTTTATTTTAAAATATTGAATGTTATACGTCTTACATAGAATCATCTTCAATGCTGACCCTGCATTTCTTTGCCCGTTGTGTTTGGTATAACGTCCAATAGTTTTACCGATACTACCACAACTGTAGTACTCTGCCATTG